ACTTCTAGCTCACTCATTTGAACCCAGGGACTCAACAGAAAGGTCTCAGCATCTGCCAGGTCACTCTCAGCCGCTTGCTACCACAGAGACACAACGCCTGGCATCAGCGGGGACGCAAGAGGTGGCCACAGATGACAGACTCGGGGTCAGGGCGGGGGGTGGAGGGAAAAGAGGTCAGCTCTCAATCCCAATTTGTGAGGATTGCAGTGGAAAGTCTCCCCTCTTCCCCCCTGAAACCGCATCCCATCCAAAACTCTGTTACCCCCAGCATGGTTTCCCCTCCAGGCCCTTCAGAGCAGAGCTGCTAAGACATCTCCCTCTCTGCTGCTTTCTTCTCAGCAGGGTTCAGGGTAAAACGACTACTCTGTCCATCAGGTCCCTCCCCACACCCGTCGCTCCTGCGATGTCTGCAGCAACCGGTGCAATGCCAGGATCTTCTTTCCATCGCCCTCTCCGCTTGTCCCTCTCCCGTTTGCCACGCTCACTTGTTGCATCTTGTTTCAAGCTGAACTGCCCCTGCCTGGTGTGCAAATGCCGACAGGTTCACAGCCCGGGGTTACTCGGCCGCAGGCATGATGCTCACACTCATGGCTATTATCTGCCTCAATTCTCCTGCCGGCGCGTCCAGGTTTCGTGACGCATCTTGGTTGGCGTGTTTGCTTTTTAATGCAATCTAAGTGGAAGCTCTTTCTCTTCTCACTCGCTCGCGCGGGCATTAAACCCACCAAAACACGAGTATCAGAAACACAAACCCCAGCACAAATCAAACACCATGTCCCTGTCTAGAAGCTAATAAAAAATGTATTACCTCAAAAATCTTTTCAAGAGATGATGCTAAAAAGGAGAAAATCTCCTGGCAATAGCAGATGCAGATACTGAATAACTCCAGGGTTGGAAAAGCCCCTGGGGAACAGGGAGACCTGTTAAAACACTCAGATGTCTCGTATGCAACTCGTAACTCTGCAAGGAAGCGATAATCAGGCTCATTTCAGCCCGATCCTCGTTTCTCCCTCTTTACCAAATTTGTTAGCCGGTTTATGCTAGAAACGGTGTCGTGGCTCTTGTTCACGGCGTCGTGGGAAAACGCCGATACCACGCCCGTTCGCGGCGCTCCCTGGACGGGTTTGGACTCTGCCGGACGTGGCCCGAAACTTCAAACCAGGACACAGATCTTGAACCCATCTCAAGCAGGGAGTTGAACTAGATGTGACCTCCTGAGATCCTTTCCGACCTGCATTGTCTATGAGTCTGTGATTTTAGGACAGAAAAAGGGACGCATTGAAAATACTGAGCCTTTCCTTTTAGCCCCTTCTTTTCCAGGCCCTAACTCTGCTATGCTGATGTGACACCCGCTGTCCAACACGCTGGCGCTGCCGTGCCCAATACTAAGTGCCACTGAGATATGGGAATAACGTAGAGCAGGAAGGCCAGGCCGAGAGTTGCTCTTAATTGCATTGCATAGATTTGCAGGGCTTTATGTCTCTTATTATTTCCTACGCACTGGGGTCTGGAATAATACTATACAGAAACACAGCCCAACACTGACCATGAAATGTAGCTGAAGAAAAGCAGGCAGAACAGAAAAGGCAGTGGGAGTGTTCAACACGGTGCCTGCAGGTCACGGCGTGCACCTTTCCTGATCTCTGACACACAAATCTCCAAGCAGGTATGATTAGTCATGTATAAAGCTTAGCTAAAACACTTCCAGAGCCCCGCACACTATTTTTGTGGCTTTACAGCTACATTTGCCTGCTTCTAAAACTGTTTTATTTCTCCTGCTGCCGCGTGCAAGACTCACACCAGCAGCAAGGGAGAGCAAGAGCGGTCGCAGAAGGGAGACTGCAGGAGATGACACGCAAATGCACTAAGTGAACGCCTTGAGCAAGACAGGAGATTTTTTCTCTAATCTCTTTTCGGTGTTGCCGCTTTCGAGGTTACAAGTCACAACAGCCGCTGAAAACACTTTTCAGACAGAAGGGTGATTTCTAACGTGCCTTTGAATTGTATGGGCTTCTGGAGGAATTTCTATGGGACCTTGAAGGTCCCATGTTCAACTGCATACATTTTCCCCTAAAGGGTTCTACCTGGTAGGAGGGTATTATACCCCACAGCAATGTGCATTAACCCCACAGCAATGGGGTAGTCTCAAAACCTGGGCACTTTAATAGTTATGCCCATGATATAATGCTTCCACTGCCGCCATGTGCTAAACCACCAACCGATCAGTGGCTGCAAAAGTTTTCCAGAGCTAGCTCTTGTCCATCCCTGTTCTGCAGAAGGATTTTCCTGTACACTAATCCCTCTGATGGTTTATCTAAGCTCCTTTTGATAGTGTGGTCCAAGGATGAGAAGGGATTTTGTAGGCCACCTAAGGTAGAAAAAAATCATGCTCTCTAGGAGGGCTCCTTTGAAAGGCACTGTGGCTGTTCAGAAATAAGAGTTGGCATGATAACAACAATAATATAATGCACTTACACGGCATGGATCATGCTTAAGGGTGCCAAGGTGTTTACAGATTTTATCTGGGTTCAACCAAAGACCTTTTGGGGTAACTCTGTGGAGCCGACAGACTTATGTTTAACTTCCTTAGACTTGAGGAAAGGCACTTGATGCCCAAGAGCTTGTCCCCAGCAGCTCTCCCAACTACACAGTTGGTTCAATAAAAGATACCACAAAAAACCCTTGCCTCATACATCTTCCTGGGCCATCACGGCCACAGCAGCACTCCAGCCCACTTATGCAGAGGAAGAATTCAGCCTTCTGTCTATTCATATAAAAATCATATCACACTGCAGTGAAATGCATCCAGCTCTTGGGTGGAACAGGCATGCCATTTTAACCTGGCACCAATATATAATAGAGTATAATCTTTCGTCCGACTTGAAACCTCATGGGGAACACGGACAGAGAACACATCACTGCTCTTATGAGGTCCTTCAGGGACTACAACAAGTTGCTCGAGTGCCTTGTCCCAAAAATGTAGCAATCCCTTAGCATTTTGCCAGCCCATTGGCTCAGCGGTGACTTGGAGGAAGAGCTGTAATGCAATGAGTCACCAACATTAGACCCCAAAGCAATTAAGATGGATGAGTAACCTCCAATTAAAGCATGCGAGAAAAAAAATGATGACAGAAGCCTTGTAACGATGGTGCTGCACACTAAACTTTTTGCATAATACCATGCACATACGTTAATTAATATGTTAATTACTGCCATTTAGACATAGATCTTCCCACCCTTACTTATACCTCTCACCTCCCACTCTCTGGTGAGCATACATACACTCGATCACCCTTTAAAGGAGTGATCTATCCAGAAGCTTTTCTGGCCCAGCATAGCCCTGCATAAGTTCAGAGTTCATTAATTTGGGCTTCGTTTCCTCCGGCAGCTTCCATGGGATTGGCCCTGCTGGTCTGAATAAGCTGTTCTTTTGCAGCCCTGACAAATTTCATACTCTGATGGGCAAAACTTCGGACAAAGCAGCAAGTAGCAACACAGGTCCCGGAGGGAAACAAGATGCTTTCAAGCCTGGCTTTCCACTAGGCTGAGCTGACACTTCCTCCCGATCGTCCAACACGCTGGCTGCTAAAATGTCTCTGATGGGTCTTTTTGCTCACTCAAACCACTCCCAAATTCTACAAATGAGGGACCACATCTCTCTCTCTTTTTTGCACACTTTCTTTCAGTCTTTCAAACACAGGCACGTCCTCAGACCGCACACAAATGCATCCACGATCACACAAATACTCTCCTATTCTTACCAGAAGTCATACGTCTTTTCTCAGCGATGACAAAGGCGCACACACAAACATGGTCGCTAGTGAATGCATTTGCACATGCATGCACACTTTCACAGACGCATGTGATCATTCACCGAGTATGCATTCGCACATGGCCCTTCACACACATGTGCTCGCGCATGCACACGCACACAAGCACAAACACTTTCACAGACGCACGTGATCATTCACCGAGTATGCATTCGCACATGGCCCTTCACACACATGTGCTCGCGCATGCACACGCACACAAGCACAAACACTTTCAC